ACACACACACACACACACACACACACACACACACACACACACAACCTCTCGTCCATATGCGTTTTTCGCATTGCATTGCTGCAAAAAACGCATAAAAACACATAAAGATGCAGATGCGATGTGGCCAAAATGTGATTACATCTAGGCTGTGCAAGAAATCACAAAACCAAGTGATGCTCGCTAGACTGAACGCAGTCGAAATGGCCGACACATAGGTTTCTGAACTGACAGCATGGATGCTGTGCTGAATGCCACAGGTGAGGGTTAATGCGATTTAACAAAAGAGCTCTGCGAGGTTAAACGCGCTCCTCTGTAACATCGAGAGCTTCATGCTGATAAGACCAGCGATTTCGGTGCTCTTGATTTTGCAGAATATAAACAGACTTAGCGCGGTATTGCTCCTTTACGGTCCATTAAATTAATGAGCTTATTAGATGGGATCGCCGCTGAATGTAAGAAATGAGGAGATTCACCTTGACTTAATAAACGTGGCTCACCCGCCTTCCTCTCTTCCTAACTCATCAACTCATTTGTACTCATCCCCGGCATGCTGTTACGCCTTCATCATACGAATTTTTGCGTTTAAGTCAACTGCAACTCAAATTGCTGCCCTCCAGACATGTTACACCTGCTCTGTTTCCAAATCTGTACTGTTTCCCTACTGGTCGCTCGCATGCTAGTCGTGGAAGCCAAAATGACTGGTAAAGCTACATTTGTTTTTCAATTAATTATGACTAGTATAAAGATACTGGCAGTAAAAATAAGTCTCTGGCTTTACGTAGGCAGCACTGAGCCGGGAGTGATTTTTTAGGGCGTTTTTACATGATCCACGTAAAAGTATAAAAGGTGGCTCACGTCAAAGAAATGTTTTAGCAGTTAAGCAGATGCGCAAGTTGAGTCAGCCAATATGTAAGGATGCTTGCAGCGGCGACCTTTTATTGTGCTCGTTACTCTACCTCCATTTGGAAATTGAACCCACTTTTTATTCTGGAATTTGAATTTGGGTTTACGGATTTAAAGGAAGTGAGGTTTATTGTTAATAGATCCCAACTTATTCAAAAACCCCCTAGAAAAATTAGGTGAGTTTCTAGGTCAGGGTAAAGCTAAATCCTATTACACAACATATTATCTTTAAAAAATTCCTGTTTGTGGCATTCTGCATTTTCAATTTGTACAATAAACCTAAACCTGGGCTCGTGGCCTAAAATCAAAATACATCTAGATTCGCTTTTTGGTTGACTGTCCTGAGTTTCCAGTTGAAAAAACTGCCGTTTAAAGTCTTTAACTTCGTGATTTATTATATATTTCCTGTCGTACAATTAGCATGAGTTCTTATTTGACAACACAGGTTGCGACACAATAGGATTTCGCATGTATTTCACGGCTCTCAGTTTCCTGATAATTCAAAAAATTTATCCTTAAAGTTTGTCTTCTGTAGCTTTTCGGTTCAGACAAATAAAAACGCACTCCTGCACGGTCTTGCCAAATACTTCTTTATTTGTGTAAATCAGTTTTACAAAAAAGCACAATCTTTTGTGTATAATTGGCGTGTATTGCTTTCTATCTAAGTATTAGGCTGGAAAGCTCAAATTTCTCATGTGCAACTCAAGTGCACAATTTGAAATCAGAATATGTTTCTCAGTCCTGGTTTTTGACCTCATAACTAATTTCGGTCTGTTTTATAACATGGGAGCGAATAAAATCACACATTAAAAGTTTTGGTAGATCATTAGAACAAACAATAATTTAAAGACAGCTTTAGTGCCTTACTGGATCCTTGCTGCATCAGCTGAAAATTCTGATTAATTTTATTATTTGAAAAATAAGGGATTAATTTGAAAATATCTTACAAACTTCACCGCATCCTGACATGCAAGGTCAAATTTGTAATCCTAGGAAGTAGAGGATGCAAGTCTATGAATTTTGTACCTCTCGAAAAAAGGCCCATCGTCATTCTTGCCAGCAAAAAATTCTATTGGTATTTGCTACCCCTCGGACTACTTCCCTGTGCTTTCATCTCACAAATACGAAGGAAGTTTTGAGATATAGAATATCACGATAATTTTGTTGCTACTTGTAGACCATGAAATCCTTATCATGAGTGCAGTATTTAGATGAACCGCATGTAACTTGTGGCAAAGAAGCGCTTTATGTAAGCGTGCCAGTGGAATCACCGTTCAGAGGACACGTTTTTGTTCGGGGCTATTACAGTGACCAGAAGTGTCATAAGGATTTCCAGTCATTCAATGAGACCAGCGGCGAACTTCTCATGAATATTAGTTTCGAGAACTGCGGAATGCGGCGGAAACGACAGGTTTTTTTTTAAATTTTTTGTACTCACAGCACGTTACTTGATGTTGCCCTGGCTTCTACTACACTAGTGACTTATCCAGATTACACCAAAATTATGAGTTTTTGCTCAGTAAAAGGACTAGATTCGGCCAATGGGAGATTGTATAACTGCGCTAGGAAGTGACAATCCAAGCAACGCAAAGTTGGATGTTAAATGAGAAGGGGCTTGAAGCCGTTTTTGTTATTAAGCAAGCATCTGGTCACAGTGGGGTATTTTTTCTTTACTCTGCATACTCAAATGCTTGCTCTCTCTTGAGTGATCATTGCGGCTGGCATTATATTGCAGCATTTGATTACTTATGTCAAGAATACCAAGACCGTCCGGACATCCGTGTGAGCTTCCCATGTTAGCAATGTCACTGGGATGCTCCTCCGGTGCAGCTTTTCGAGATCCTTGTTTCTGAGTTGCGCACCTTCAATTGGTGCTCGGTTCGGTGCATATGCGGCGGCTCTTCGGAGTTGTCTAAGTGGTCGCCTTCCTTCTCACGAGTATCATGAGAAAGAATATAGCACTTGCTGCCAGTAAAAAAGTTTGGAGGTTCAAACCAAACACGGAACAGCACGGGAAAATTTTTGTTCAAATTAACATTTTCAGACAAATCCACGTGGCGTGAGTATCAGCTCAACGCTAGTCGTATCATTCCATCCAAAACTTATAACAGCCGGCGATCGAGCTTACCAGGTAGGGCCGTTCAGCTGAATCTTGACAGAGAGCCAAAAATCTGAAATCGGAGAGTCGGCTAGCCAAAGGGCGGTAGAACTTGCTTTGTGTAAAAAACTGTTTCATTTACTAGTAAATCTGCTTTACAGATAAAGTGTTTTTATATGGAAGAACAGCAGATGGTTCATTCAGACGTTAAAGTGAGGTAGGTGGTTCGGCAACTTATACGAGCCATTGACTCGTCTCAAAAACGCAATATTTAATAACGTTTAAGTCAAATTTGCTCTTATAGGACACTTGGTCAAAGGTCAAAAGCAATAAATTGTTCTCTCTAGGATTCACTGCCCGGACCAGCGGATTTTGCAGCTCTTACGGGTGAAAGACAACATCTGCAGTTAGGCTCAACACATACAATTGTTCTATATTAGTTTTAACAAGGCTGCAGAAATGGAAAAACCTGAGTTTTTCGCTGAGACTGCAAATAATGCTTTTTTTTCTTCATAAGCTTTATTTGAACAAAGTCAAAACTTTTTTAAGTTTAGCCCTATGCAAGCAACTGAAATGGAGATGAAGCTGCCGATGCCGAATTGCGGATACAGGGTACTGACAAACGGTCCAGCTGGCGATCCAGTTCGAACACTGAATGTCGGTGACATAGTATATCATAGCTGGGAATGCAAATGGGAATCACACAAGGAAGGTATCTACTGCATGTTGCTGCACTCCTGCAGTGCTGATGATGGGCACGGATCCACGCAACCAGTTGTCGATAGCCATGGGTACAGATTTCTTGAACATTCCAGGAGTAACTGAAAAAACAGGAGAAGCCAGAAGAAGTATTACATGAGGTGTTACATGGCTTTGTCCCATTGTTGATGATGACCCTCGAGACGACAAGCTTTTTGATTGACGTAACGTGTCGTGTCGCAACTGAGCAGCGGTAGAACAATAACGAACAACAATTTCGCAAGACCGTACAATGAATATTTATAAACAGCCTTTAAACATGAATGATAGCAAATTCACAGAAAATAAAACCTTCCTTGGTACCCACTCTCTTTGAGATGATAGTAAAAAGCTTTTATTTAATATCGGTTATGCAAACCTAAAAATAATGAGAAATGGGGGTGAATAAATCACTTTCATTAGTGGTTCCAACTGATTTCTCTAACCAAATATCGCTCCAAACTGTGTTCATCTGTGCCTTACAACTTCCACGCCAAAAGCAATTGCATTCACAAACAGCTCCTTATCTGATAAGATATTATCAAAAAAGATGCTACAACTCCCAAACTAGCTGCTAAATTTGTTATTTGTATCGATAACGAGAAGAAACGTGACGAGAAAACGGAGCTAATCCAGTTATTAAATGAGCTCTTTTCAGATGCTCAATGGACGAAGAAATATTCCCTCAGATTCAGTACAGCGGCGATCTGGCTGCCGGAACACTGATGAAAGCATTCAAATTTGCAGACAGCCCGAATGTTTTCTTTCAATGCCAAATAAACTTGAGCCTGGCTGTAAATCACAGCAATGGAACGTGCTCGGTCTGTTAGATTCTCATTGCACTTTAGGCCCCTACCTGTATGACGCATTGCTCCACAAGGAACTCGATGCTGTAAAATACCGGCAAATATAACACTCGTGAAGATAATTTCCCTTGGAAATCGGGCGGTAACACATTTATGAGATGATGCATCTGGCAGTTAGACGGTAACTATTGCAACGTTTCACATGATTCAGACAGAATTTGCACTTTCTAATAGGAATGGTGGTTCATGACAAGTGAGTCCGATTGCATCTTTCTACCATTTTTCGATTGCCGGTTTAGTTTCTAGCTTTCATTTACAGTAATTTTTAGCTGAATTTGGACGCGCTTGACTGCAAGAGGCACGGCTCTTTCTCACTCGCGTTCTGTAGGCTGGGCAAGGGGTCGTGACACGAAATTGATAGACATTAACAAATATCTTGAATGCAATTTTACTAAGGGGAAAAATGCATTTCAATCACCAGTTAAAACGCCATTAAATCACCTCATCACATCTACTGACAAAAAATGGAAAATTCATGAAAGCACGCGCAAAATTTCATGCGTTTAATGTGACATGATTGAAAGTTGCATGCGGGTGAATGTCCATTGCCTCTACGTCAAAGTTACTACTAAAACAAGTCTGTATATTCAGAGGCCGCAGTGCTCAGTGCGAAACAAACGTTCGATAAAGGTCGAAGGTTCAGTGGTTGATGTCAGTGCGCCAGCACTTTTTATTAGCGACCTCAAT